ATGCATAATTGCACGAATTAGTGGCGTGTGGGCTGGTCTCTCCTTTTCCTTTGTTTGTCACTCCTTCTCTCTCGGGGTCTCTGTTGTGTCCACACCCCGCCGTCTCGACGTGCCAGTTGCACTAATTCAGACCTGTGGCATATTCTATGCGGCTTTCGACAAAAAAACCCAAAAAAACAACCCTACAACCCTGCATAATTGGATTTCTTGGGCTGCTGTGTAGTTGGGACTGGGTCTTCAGAATTTCGTGAGTACAGTGTGTTTAGAATTGTGGGCTTTCGGTTTTGGTTCTGGCATATTCGGATTTAGGTTTGCAAGTGTTTTGGGCATAGTTTGGGGTTCAGTCGGCTTTATCAGACTTCGGAAGCACAGGCCCAGAAAGCTTGCAAGGCCAGATGCGGCTCAGTGGTGGCAGGCAGTCGGCAAGCCCAAGCCCTTCAAACAGTATCAGCCAGAACCCCTAGACTTACGAACCCAAACTCAACCGCTGCCCTCTGCGTACACACATCTTTGCATTCCGCACTGTTTAATACTTCGATGCTACAATATCGAGACGTTAAGTTCTCATCCTGTGTGAATAAAAGTTGCTGCTCATGATAAAGTGAAACCCCGACCCTGTAAAACTCAACTCTGAGAGAATTTCTCGGCACCATCAAAGCTGGGCACCAGGAGCCCAGGACATTATCACAATTTTCGTAAGAGGACAATGAGGCGTGCCATCGCAATGGCCCGACAACGCTCCGCGGAACCCAGTGCCGGGAGTGCTCCCGCCGCTGACGGTATGCCCCCCCACCCCAGCTTCTGATCATGAGTCATTGTGCAGTGATGGAAGCAGGTGCAGCACATGAGCCTTGAAAGAACGTGCTTCATGAGCTTTTCGGGCTTGAGGTGTCGACCCTGAAGTGTTTGTAGGCAGGGTTGTTTTGGTGGCGGCATGGCGCAGCCGGATGTGGGCCCGGCTGACCTTTGTCCTGACTGAAATAGGTATAGGGGTTTAGGTTTTAGGGTTTTAGGGTTTAGGGTTTTAGGGTTTAGGGTTTAGAGGCAATTGCATTCGATTCCGTTATGCACCCGGGTCCCATGTGCACTAATCAAATCCTAAACTCACTCAGGAAAAGGTCGATCCTGCGCTAATTTTTCGGATCCTCGATGGTTGTCTGGAAGTTTCGTGGGAGCAACTTCGGAGCTCTGCTGTCACTTGGCTATAATGAAACTGACTCCGCAATCCGAGTGCATAGCAAAGCCTTTGGGACACAATCACTTTTTCGACCCCAATCTTCCGGCATCAGGACAAGGACTTGATCCTCATCGACCCCGCCTCGGCGCGTGCTGGAGGTGTCTTCGAGAGGGACGTTACTCGGCTAAGCTGCTGTTTGCCTTCGGTTGGGGGTTGTGGGTTGCAATGTTCGGTGTAAACCGAGATCGTTATCAACTTCAACGTGTTGCTGCACATGTTTGTGAAGTTCGGCTTGGCTGTGCCCTCCTGCACAGTCATGAAGGCAGGCAGGGGAATGATGCAAAACAAGTCACTTCGCTTTGTGCTCAAACTCCCTGAAAGGAAGCATTCCTGATTGTTAACAACGAGCGTGGTCTGATTGTGGCCGGAGCCCTACGACCAGACGATCCCCAAGATACCCCGGCCCGGCGAGCCAAGATCCTCAAGCGGGAAATTCAGGACCGAAACTCGTAGATTGCAACCCCAATCTAAAATCAACACTTCGAGATTGCCAAATCAGGACTGGGCCGCCTTGCAGGCCGGCCGACTCAGAGCTCTGATGGTGCTGGCTATCCGTATGACCCGCCGGACACGTGTGGCGAGGCAGTAGTGCTTTCGGTAATCGACTTCGGAGTTTGCATACATGGGTCTAGCTGGCAGTTAGTCTTTCATGTCAGGACGGAAGAGATGCAGGCTCTCAAAGATTTGATAGCAGATTTCCCAGGATTCCGACCTATGGTTGCTCGGATCTTGCATTGAATTACAGTGTGACTGCACCTAGCCCGCAGAATGATTCAACGTTGTCTCGGAACTTAGGCTTCAGAAATTACATGGGACCCCAACGGCACCGATGGCGAAGCTGTGCATGCCCCCTGTCTGGCTTCATACAACAACTAGCCGTGTTTTTCCCCCCAAGCCGGAGCTGTTTCCTGCCGAGGTGCCCGGGCACACCAGAAGCTTCCTCAGCGAGGAGGGAGATGAAGTGGCCGACCGTGAGGCAGCTATTGTGATTCAGGGCTTTGAATGGGTCAGATTTCAAAGTTCCTGCCGTTACCAGCCTACTGGCTACAACCGAGCTTTCACAGACCGAGCTTGAAGGCAATATTGCATCGAGAATCCAAAGCGCGCAGGTGCCCGCCGAGCCAGCGCCGGCGGCAGCAGAGGGCGCCATGCCGGAGACGGCCGAGGAAGCCTTGGCTTTTGGGTTTCGGGTTCAAGGGCTTTCCTGGGAATCCAAAGTTCTACCCTCACTATTTTGTAGGGCTTGGGGTCGCAGGTTAATTAGAGATCTATGCAGTGGCCTATAGCTCGCCGGTTTTTCTGGTTTATGTTGCTTGCTCCTGCGTGTACTGTACTACGCAGTTTCCAGATTGCTAGCTGTTGATTTAAAACGAGCTGCAAGCTCAGCGAATACACTCACAACCCCTCTATTCTGCATGAATACAGGTGTGTGTGTGTGTGTGTATACACACACACATATATATATATAGAGAGAGATATAGGTAGGGGTGTGTGTGTGTGTGTTTGTGTGTGGGTGGGTGTCTGTGTCTGTGTGTCTGTGTGTCTCTGTGTGTTTGTGTGTTCCCTGAAGGACAGAAACAAACAACGCCCATTCATCATTTTGGATTTCCGTGTAATGACTAGACCGGACCTGTCTGCATCCCCTGTCGGCCTTGACTTACGAGTTTGAACGAGGCTTTTCAGGGATCGGGTTTCATTGCGTTTTGGGCCATAGGTTTGGGACTACAAATGCGGGAGGCTCAAAGCTTCAAGCTCCCAGGCCTTTCTTCAAAGGTTGGGGCGTTGTAGGCTTCGCTTTTCAGCTACGACAGATCAAGGCTGACGCACCAAGTCCGCTATTAGTTGGTTAACCATAAAATTAACCGAAATCCCGGCAATCTATACCCGGCATCCCTAATTTCTCGAACGGACCCCATATATAAAATCCTGACGAAACCCAAGACTCCAAAATTTCACCCCGATGCCTTTAATCCTAAAATTCCGGAAGTGAATTAGCTTGGCTTCGGGGTTAAATGATTTCAATGCCGATCTCCAGGCTTCCGCGTCGATGGTGCCGCCGGGCGAGGTCGAGGAGGACCAGTCGACTCAAGCGCTCCGCATGGTAACCTTTGCTTTGGCCCAGGGTACACTCATGGGTTTCTCAGACTACAAGTTGCCGGCTTGTCGGGGTTAATATAACTGCCTGTCTCCAGGATTCCACGGGCGTGTCCGCGGGTGTCGCCAACGATCAGGAGGAGAGTTGCAGTGCCACGCTTTTGGGGTTGAGGTTATACTAGCTTGGTCCCTACATCAGGATAGCACCAACTCGGAGCTGCCCGTCCCCGCCCATGAGGACTACGTACTGGGTACAAGCGATCAGGATCTTGTTTCTTTGCGGAGTGGCCAAATGCCGATCTGCTTGTTAAGCCAGGCCTTGCAATTTCTGATCTGGGTTTGGGGGCAAAACTCAAACCCTCAAGCGATGCTTTCTTGACCCGAAAACCCAAACCCCGAAGCCCGACATCCGAGAGCCCATTAAGGAAGCTTGACACAAGACTTTGGAATCATTACGCAACCACAATTCTCCCCTGGAATCAAAGCTAATGGGTTGCATGAAAAGTTGAGGATGCTTAGGGGTTGATTAGTTAGCGCGCCGACCCCCAGGAGCCCAGCAGTGCAAAGCTACATGTCCCTGGCAAAGAGGACGGATTGGGGGTGCACCCCAAACTTCAAGCCCGATCCCTAAACTCAAAATCCGAAATCTTGAACCCCAAGCCCTAATCCCCTTTATATAATAAACCCTATATCCGCAAAACCAATTATTTTCCTTGGGCTCATTGTGGGCTGAGAATCCCAGGGGGCTTGCGGATTTTCAGGTCGGTGGCTTCGGGCTTGAGGGCTTAGAGCTAGGGCTTTAGGGCTTAGGGTTCAGGGTTTAGGTTTACGGGTTTAGGCTTTAGGCTTCTTTGGGAACCAACAAAGTCACAAACCATACTTCCTAGCTACCTCACAAGTCTCCGACCATCCCCTGTGCAACCGTTCGTGCTGGACTTCTACGATGACTTTGGGAAGTAGCACATTCATAGTCCAGTCTTTTTCATGGCCCTTTCTATTGTTGAGGGTTTGTAGAGCTGTAGGGTTTAAGGTTTTGAGGTTGAAGGGTTTTGAGGGCTTTGGGTTTTGAGGGTTTAGGGTTTGCAGGGCTTAGGATTCCCACAAAATTTAGGTTTTCCGGCTAATTTACGGGTATTAGGGCTTGTAGGTTTGGGAATAATGCCGATTCCCAGGATTCGCCAGATGCGACAGTCGCCCCAGGCGATCGGCAGATGGAGAAGGCCCTCGGTGCTTCCGACGTTTCGCTATAATAATCACAGCATCGGGTTATGCTTCGGGGTCCGGTTGGTGTCTTGACCAATCGTACTTTAACAGTCTACAGTGTGAGCGCAGCAGGGATCGTTTGCCGCTACTTGTCACCTATCGAATAGGAAACTCTGTTCGAATTATCCAGAAACAGAACCGCTGCATCAGGAGAGCCCGGAAATGCCGAGCTCGAGCAACCCGCTTTTGCCACCTGATGCTGTCCAGCTTCACGCGCAGCTCAAGGAGATGGGGGGGGATAATGCCGGAGATCTGGACATCCTCCACCAGCAGCAAGCGCTAAAGGCGGAGGTACGGGAGGAGAAGGCCAACAAAGTTCTCGCGAAGGGTCCCTCAATCGATTGAAATCCAGTACGTACAGGCCAGCATTCATTGTGTTCATCCTGTGTGCTATAATATAGCTGAGGCAAAGCGAAAGCAAAGCAGTCTCGAGGCAAGCGACCAGATGAAGAGGAGAACCAGAAAGGAACGAAACGCGAAAAGGATGCAGCAGCTGAGACAGCAGCTGCTGGGAAGGATGATCCGGAGCACGAGCAGGAGGACAAGGAGGAGGACCACGAGGAGAACGACGACCCAGAAGGGCCGAAGGCCAAGAAGCCGAAAAAGGAGGCAGGGACTTTTCAGGAAATAACAACCAGGAGCATCAAGAGCACGGAACAATCCACCCGCCCAGGGTAAGTTGGTGATCGACCTGCTGCCGGAGCTGATGCCGCTCCAGAGCATAGGCTTGGTTTTGCCAACGGAGGCCGAGCTGAAGCAGAAGTGCTTTGGCAGCATTTTGCGGCTTCCAGGTTCTCCATCATTGTCAACACACTTTTCATGTCCAAGGAGCTACACTATGAAACGCGCGGGTGCCCCGACCACCATTGCGATTCAGAAAGGCTCCATGTTTTACTTCATGACCAGTGTGGACCCGTATGTCCGCAGCATCCTCAAGGCGCACAAGCTGCGCGCTACTCGATCTAAATATTGTTCTTTCAGAAATGTATCACCCTAAGCTTCGCAGATCGAGGTGAACGGTGCAGCTTGCACGCAGATCACGTTTCAAAAGTTCGGTGCCGAGTATGGCTTCAGACTTGCCATGATCCTCTCTGGGTGGATACCAGTGGGGGAGCTCCCGCAACCCCTTCCTGATCCGAGCAACGAATCCGAGTTTGGAGCATTGCGAGAGATGGTTCGCAATGCCCGCTTTCGGCAGTGCTGAGTAGTAGACTGCGGCCACCCGTAGGCTGTCCGTTTTGGCATGGGCTTGCCTTTATTATGGGAAGCAAAAGCTCTGCAAAGCATCTCCGGCCTTAACGCCCCGGCCCGAAGCCCAAAACACCTTCCACACTTTGGAAACTAAAGCAGAACACTTAACTGCCCTAAAATTGAGGCTACTTTCAATGACCTGCTCAATCCTGATTGAGGACCCCTGACTGGTCCATGTCAATAGTACATGACCTGATTGAGTCCTGATTATGTGTTCTTCTTGTTATTGGCTTTTGTCTTATTGTTGCTAGAGACGATCAATAGTAGAAGGATTGTCGTGTACTCAAACTAGATAATTGCGGAAGCCCCTATGATCAAGCCAGCTTCTTCGATTCTCTAGTGAAGACACGGCGAATCCATGAGTTCCCCCAACCTCTTAATTAGGTAATGTTACTTAAATAAAAAATACAAGACGAGCTTCTGGCAAGCCCTTATTTTGAGGACAGATCGATCGAGACATGAACCTTTGCAGCGCGAACTTGGAAACCCGCAAAGAAATCTGAAGCTAGGTGTCTCTCTCTGTGTGTGTGTGTGTGTCTGTGCTTGGTTCTACTGTGCTTTGCTTGGTTCGGAGCAGGCATGATTGCTTGGGGCGAGGTGCGGTGTTTGTGCTTACAGGCGGCCGGTGCATTGGGTCTAGAGGTCCGATGGAATTTCCGATAGACGTGTTTCCGCTGTCCCTGAGCGGGACCGCGTCTGCTATGTTGCTGCTCCTGGGCGTCCCGCCTCTACTGTGCCCAGCTCCAATTAGAATTGAAAGTCAAAGCTTATTGTTATTTCGTTCCCCTCCGCTCGGACAGTGCAGCCGAGGTTGCAGGCGGCGCATTATGTCGCCACCGTCGCAGAAGGCCACAGTCGAGCCAGATCCTCAAGATTGTGTTCAAGCAGTTGGGTTCAGTTCCTCTCTTTTGGCTTAGGACTTGATGGCGGTGGAGATTTTCAGCGGGGCAGGTAACGTTGCCAAGGCATTCCGTGGGAAACTTATACCTATCAGTTTCAATCTTGCTGAGATGTCCAGCCCCAACCCGCAACGGCTAAAAATATGATGTTTGCATGAACGTTTAACTAAGGAGACCTGGGAGATCGAGCGCCTCCCACCTGCAGCTAATCAGACACATAATACAGCCAGTCGGCATCTGTGTGGTTCATGAACCCGAGAGATACAACTCCTTGGCCTCCCCAGGTCAACTTATGACATCAGCGATCAGCCACATGAAGACATTTGCACGACCTTGGGCTTCCTCGAACTCCTCAAGAAAACTCTCCGGGTCCGAGCTGGGGGGTTGTTCTATGCGGGCCATCCCTGTTCGAATCATGTTTGGCTCTCTAAATCCAAGCACAAGCGTGACCGACTTCATCCTTGGGGAGACTTGAAGAACCCCAGTTGCTAGGCAGCATATGAAGTCGACTTGAGGTTTCTGCAGTGATCAGTTGGGTTTCTGTCATACTTGCTTGTGTGCACGTCAGGTGTTGTCCAGACAAATGTTATATCGGGACGGTTTTGCTTGTTGCTGTTCCTCGCTACCTGTCGCCACGTCTACAGTGCCATCGAGCAACCGGTGTCCAGCACTCTGAAGTACATTCCTTACTTTGAGTACCTCCGGAAAGTGCTGAATCTGTGTGGTGCTGGTGCAGCTTGGGATTACTGTTCCTTGCAGCTTGCTTTGCAAAGAGTCTTTAGTCCTTTGTGTGCATTCGCGTTTACGAGCTCAATTCTCGAAAAGCAATCTAAGTTGGATGGGATTGTACGGAGCCCCGTCTCCCAAGCATTCCTACCTGATGGGGTGCGGGTCTGCTCCTTATTGTTTACATCCGCCATGTGCATGCTACGTGGCGTTTAAGCTGCACGGGTTTGGCTTCCGTTTGTTGAGGCGCTGGTTGGGCATCAAAAACAAGATGAGCAAGGAGCGCCGACAGCAATTCCAGCGATCACGGCTGGTCAAGCGAGAGAAGAAGAGTAGCGGCCGGGAAGCTGTGCCCCAACCCCAGCTTGCTCATTGGATGACATCCCCCAGCTGAGCATAAATATGTCATATTACTTCACCCAACATCAATGAGCCTATACAAGGACTGGTCGACCTGCTGAACTACGTGAAAGCCAAGTTTATCCCCGTGCGTTTGCCGAAGCTGTTGCCCAGATTCACCATGACCAGAATATTGCCGAGGACCGCAACGGTTACCTTTGACTATTGCACTTTATGATGGGTTGAAACCGATGTCGCAAGCCTAACCCATGTAAAGCCCCTACAGCCCAAGCCTTACTGAAAACTTGGACCCCCATAAACCCGGCCCAGGAGCCGTGTGGCCCACAGCTGGATCTCTACCAGCTCACAGAGTCCATTGAAAAGCTGGAGAAGGCCCATCCTACCAGGGCCGTCTTTGGTATCTTTTGGGGTTTAGGGTTTAGAGTTGAGGTTCTTAATGCTTCTGGGTTGTTATTGTGGTGCTACAGGTACACCTTCAAAGTTTTCGTAAGGTCTGGGCCGCCACCTTCTTTGATTCTGGGCGCTCACTCTCACTCTCACACTCACACTCAC